CACACTGCTAAACTTCTAATTTGTGAAAGAGCCTAAGGCACTTTTTGTTACTAAGCAACAAAGTAAACTGAGTAAACCACTAAGCAACTGAGTAAAAAAACTTCTGCTAATGAGATTCAAGAGGGGCAAGCCTCATCCCAAGATGGCTGCAGAACGTGGCAGTATTTTCTATAGTGCTACGTTTAAAGGCATGAAGGATGCAAGAGTGAAGAATTCATGTATTCTTCCTCCATGACTTTAGAGAGCCACTGCGGCCTGGCAAAATGTGGTAGGGGAGACCCCATGTGAAGTCCTTGAGAGGCCAAGAGGAGGTGAGATGTCACTGTATAAAGCTGTATTTGTCTCAGTTGTAGTGGAGACCCTAAGGCATTGGACGTGGCAGAGCCACCGTATCTGTCAAGAATAGCTCCCTATAGAGAATGCAAATATCTCGAGAGAGACAGATGTACGTTGTGAGCAGCAAAGCTGGAGGGTTGGAGCCATCTAAACTCTAAATTAAAGCCCCAGCCACTGGATATGAAACTATAGGATTTGGTGCTTGCTCTGCTGGGTTTCACTCTTGCTTTGGTTTGTTATTTCCTCACTAAGCCCCAATTCTTCCCTTTTGGAATGGTAATGTATATTCTGTATTATATATTAGAAGTATGTAAGTTGTGAGGTTTTTTTTAACAGTATGTTCAAAATTAATGTTATCTTGAATCTCAGAAGAGACTTTAAACTTTTAAATAGTGTTAGTTCTATGAAAGACTATGGGGAGTTTTGAAGTTGAACTAAATGGATTTTACATTGTGACATGGAGAGCTGCCCATGGGAGTCAAGGAGTAGAAAGAAAATGCCTGAATAAAATTATTTCCCAAAGGCTCCCATACTTGAAAAACTGGTCCCCAGTTAGTGGCATTGTTTGAGGGAGTTTTAGGAGGTGCAGCTTATGTGAGGAAACCTGTTACTTGGGTCTGGCTTTCAGAGCCCAAATCCACTCACTATTTAGAGCTGTCTAAGCTTTGTGCTTACAGTGACGGGAGAGCTCCCATGCCAGCAGAGAAGCTACCGTGTTGTCCCTGCCATTACAGACACCAACCCTCTGTACCCAGGAGCCAAAGAAATTCTAAGCCGTGCAGCCACAGTGCTTTAGCAACAGCAACAGAAAAGCAACTAACACAGAAATTAAGTCTAAAACTAACTGTTTCAATAATTTGGTCTTACTCTTATTTCCCTATTAGACATTTTTATTATTTACCTTCCATGTAGATACTTCTCCTGTATCAACTTTGCTGCTTTACTCCAAAAAAAAAAAATACTTTCAACTTCCTCCAACTACTCTGACTTAGGATCATGAAAAACAAGCACTCAAATCCTAGGGAAAAAGCTAGACAACGGACACAAAGTAAAAGTAAAACACTGCAGCGGCTTAGCTATGAAGACTGTGTGTGTGTGGACTTCTCTGAACATTCACTGGCATGTGTAATTCAGATTTACTATAGAAAAAACTCTCAGTTGTTATCATTGGCTTCCACTCATAATACTAGAGCCCAGGTCTAGGAATGTTCTTAGCTGAGAACCTAAGTTTCAAATTGACTTCTTAGACTATGAAAAAAAAAATCTTTTCCTTTCTTTACCTTCCAGAAAATTATGACTTATTATAAAACTGCTTGGGCCATAGAGAGGCCAAGTTCTAACACCCCTCATCTGTAGCACTACAGTCTTGAATCAGACTCCACCTGCTTAACTGATCTTTTCTGAGCAATAGCAGTTACAAGTATAGTGGTACAACCCTATTTTAATGTTGGAAATTCCACGTATGGAGGACTGAGATACCTCATCCTGAACATATTTCTTTCATATATTTTGAGTCGGTTGGATGTCTATACACTGTATGCACATGTGGAGCCACCAATGTTGAACCTCATTAATGTGTCCAACGATACGTTAGTCCAAAATAAGCACAAAATTCATACATATTTTGCCAAGTGAAAATAGCTTCTATAATGGATTATTTTATTCTTCTCCCATTTTACTTTATTCCTGTCTTATTATTGAATAGGTGTTTATCTGAAATATCTGCTTCAAATAAACTGTCTCACGAACATAAAAACATTGCATTCTCTCTCTTTCTACAGAGTTAAGAAATAGTCCAAGTGGTTAATTTTTATTTCACATTTAACTATTTCTTGTTTGCTTTTTCAAAAAGATTTAATGTGTTGAAATAACAAGATGGGAACAAGAAAAGCTCTATGACAGTAAACCATGGCCCCAACAATGTCATCAGGAACAGTTACACAGGCAATATTTTATTAAAAGATACATAGGAGCTAGGGAGATAGCTCAGTTCTTAAGAGCATTTGTTGCTCTTTCAGAGGTCCTGGGTTCAATTTTCAGCACCCACATGGTGGTACAAAACCACCTGTGACCCCAGCTCCAAGGGATGCAATACTCCCTGCCAACTTCTGTGGGTACTAGACACACAAGTGATGGACATACATACATGTAGCCAGCACTCATATACAAAATAAAAAAAAATCCAATTTTCCCAGCTGAAAGAAACAGACTTCACACCTCTACCCCATCCCTTCTAATAGGTTTTGACATTGTTTTCATCATTACTGATACTAGAAAATGCAACAGAAAACACCCACCAAACACTCATTTCAAATCTTATTAGAACTGATGCTAGTGGATTCATTTGTTAGGCTTACTTAAATACTATTTAATGGGAACCACAGGTAGCAGACACAATCCTGAAACCCTATGCAAGGAAGTTTCTCAAGCTTTGCAACTTTAAAGGGTTGAGTCCACCTACACTTCATTTATTATGATTGTTAGTCATAATTATGAATAGTGAAAGATAATCATTGTTTTTGTGACTTTTTTTGTTAAAAGGCCAAATGTCTTTGTACTCTGTTGTTTGTTTTGGATGCTTGACCCAGTGACCCTGTATTAGTTTCTGTCATGTTGCTGTGATAAAATTCCCTGATAGAAACAACTTAAGGGAAGGCACAACAGTGGGAGCACGAGGAAGGTGCTCCAATACTCAGGAGAGAGACAGAGACAGAAGGAAATGTCCTAAGTTGTACAGCTTCAAAGTCTAGAGGACCCTTGCCACGCCCAACCTACAGTCCCTTTTCATGTCACATTCAACCTCTTTGCCCGTCAGATTCTACATCCTTCACCAGGATAAGCCTGGCCGGCTCTTTCTGATACCCCCTTTCACTCTGACCTAGACTAGGTCTCACATGTAGTGTCCCCCAATAGACTGGGCACCTCTTGGGATGCCCCAAAACTTGAGGCTCAGGTCAGGACCCTTGTAGCCTTATCCCAACCTAGAGGCTTATTTAATACCACATTTAACCTTTCCACCCATCCATATCCAAGATATCAATCATTCATCAGGGTTTAGCTAGGCCAGTCGATCTGATCCTCCCCTCCATGTACCCTTGTCTTCAGTGTCTTTCTAGATGAAAAAGCTAATGGCTCTGATGCTCGCTGCACTGCTGCGAGAAAAGGTCGGCTGAAGTGCCTTTCACACTTCAAAGCAACCCCCACTTCTCACCTATCCCAAACTATCTGAGCTGCTAGAGTTAGGTCTCAGGTGCTGGTGCTGTCCTGGCATCCTTTTCTGTGGACACGTGGAGTCTGTGGTCCTCCCTGGTTTCCCAGTTAGGTCAGTGGCACCACAGCACATTTGTGAAACTTGCAGGTGGCACTAGCCCAGAACAGCCATATGCCTACAGTTTGCAGTGGACTGAGCCTCTGTGTATCCCACTAGGACGACGGACTTCAATGGCAGCAGCAGGAACTATTTGTATTGATCTGCCATGTTGATGCCACCTTTTGGTGTGTCCAAGAGACACTAACACCTCAGATTTGATCTCATTTTTGACGTGTGTGTCTAACAAGGACTGGATGTTCAGCAACGAGATGCCTACATTGGAGCTGGTCAGTCGGAGGCTGGTACTGTACGAGAACCTCAAGAGTATTTTTTTCCCTCCTATCCTAGACAGACAACAGGTTCGGTCCACAGTACCCTGAAACCTCCCAGTCTGCCACATTTTCACCTAAAGATCCTGGGGGGAAATGAACAATAGAGGTTGTTTACCCAAGAATATATTAGTAATGTTTGTCATCTAGAACTCTATCTGGAATAAGGAAAATGTGTTGTACAGTCTTTGGAAAAATAGTACAAACACTCAGAAATGGGTCTTGTTCTTCTGACATGTACGTGAGAACGGCGCTTTTTCCAGTTTTCATGAGTGAACATATTTAGAAACTTTTAATATGTAATACAACCATATCTTTTGAGAAGTGAGTTGTTGGTACTGTTCTTTGAGAGCCATGAGGTTTCTTCTATCAGGTCAATTAATAGTATCTAGCAGCTTGGAAGTAACAACAAAGAGTTTTACATTATTTACACGTGTAGATCTCAATTACAGTATGAGCCCATATATAAAAAGCTTTTGTTATACTTTTTACATATGCACAGAACATTAAGTATTTTACTGTTCTTTGAGTTGTGCATTTGGGACAAAGTTGAAATTTTTATTGTGTTCTCTGATGTTAAAATGCTTTGCGTCTTGATTTAAAGGGTTTGACACATTTGGTATGTTTATAGTGTTTCATTCTAATATAAACTAGTATTAAGGTGTGGAAAATAGTAAAAATCTTTGGCACTTTTTCTGCACTTGGAGGGTTCGTCTCAGGTGTGAGTGTTTGTGTTTAGTGAGGACTGAAGGACTATAAAGGCTTTACCGGGTTCTGAGTATTTCCCAGTTTTTGTCTCAGGTGTGAATTCAATGTTCAATAAGAGATGAGTAACAACTTAGATTTTTCCCACATTAAAAATATCATTTGTTTCTTTCTAAAGTGATGGTGGTGCCTAGTACAGGATTATAAACATCTGGGGTCTTGGTATTGCTTGTATTTGTACGGTCTCTCTGCAGAAGAATGCATTCTGTGACACCGAGAACTTATGAATGATAGACAAATTGTAGACTTTGCTACTACACTCACTGCTTCCACAAGACTCACCCAGTTTTAATTATATGACATTCAACAAGTTCTGGACTATGGATAAAGGATTACTACATTTTTACATTTGCTGTTTCACTCATGTATGAATTCTTTGATGTTTTCTAAGGTTTGAACACTGACTAAAGCATTTCCCACATTCACTGCATTTGTATGGTTTCTCTCCCGTATGAATTCTCTGGTGCTGAGTAAGGTTTGTGCAATGGATGAAAGCTTTGCCACACTCTTTACATTTGTACGGTTTCTCTCCTGTGTGAATTCTCTTGTGTTTAGTAAAAGATGAACGGCAGTTAAAGGCTTTGCCACATTCTTCACACTTGTAGGGTTTCTCTCCAGTGTGGATTCTCTGGTGTTTTCTGAGGCTTGAACATTGGGTAAAGGACTTTCCACATTGTTCACACTTGTAAGGTTTCTCTCCAGTATGAATTCTCTGGTGCTCGCTAAGTGTTGAGCTTTGGGTGAAAGCTTTGCCACATTCTGCACATCTGTAGGGCTTCTCTCCAGTGTGGATCACCTCATGTTTTCTAAGGCTCGCACACTGGGTAAAGGATTTCCCACACTGCTTACATTTGTAGGGTTTCTCTCCTGTATGGATTCTCTGGTGCTGACTAAGAATTGAGCAGTGGTTAAAGCTTCTGCCACATTCCTCGCATTTGTAGGGCTTCTCTCCAGTGTGGATTCTTTGATGTTTTTTAAGGCTTGCACACTGGGTAAAGGATTTTCCACATAATTTACATTTGTAGGGTTTTTCTCCTGTGTGAATTATGCTGTGTTTACTGTAACTTGAGCAATACTTAAAGGCTTTGCCACATTCATTACATTTGTAGGACTTCTGGGCATACTGAATTTTATGTTTTTGAGGTTTGAGGTTTGAGGTTTGATTAAACATTGTGTCACAATCTGTATGCTTGTGATGATTATCTTGAATATAGTTACACTGCTGAATGGCAAGCTTTGAGCACTGGGTAAAGAAATTTTCACAACTGAAAAGGTTCTTTGGAAACAGAGTACATTTCTGGTTGGTGGGACTTGAGTCATGGTCAATGTTATTGTGTACTTTGTTACACTGACCAGATTTCTCTACAATATCCTTGCAATTATTTAGTGTAGAGCCATTACTGAAGGCTTTGCTAGTTTCTTTACACATGTGTGTGGCTTTCCAAATATCTGTATCTGGATTCTGGCTATGCAGTAATAGATCTTCAGCAAGTAGTCCACAACCATCAGAATTGTGCAACTGGTCATAGGAAAGATCCACTTGCTGGCTGAAGAGTAAGGATCTTTCAGGATAGGAAACCTCTACTTGATCAACTTTAGAGATCAGTTCTCTATTTCTCAATTCTTTGTCTATGGAAATGTTTGAGTGAAAGATATTTCCCGCTTTCAGACCTTCACAACTTCTTTTCAAAGCTAAGTTATATTGAAAGATTTCCCATGGATATTTTTGTTTATAGAGACATGGCTCATCAAAAGTACCTGTCCTAGCATGAGTTCTTTTCATAGCGGTTTTCTGTTCTTGATCTCTGTTGTCAATGACATCTTGGCGATTGCTAGTGATCACAAGAGGGTTATATTCACCATGGCAGGCTGTTTGACCTTTATTCTCATCTACATTAGGCTGATTTCTGAAACTCTTGAGACCATAACTTCCACGTCTTCTCTTAGTCACTTTTTTGAAGGAATATTTTAGGATCTGTTCTGGTGAAAAGTTCTGGGTAAAATGCCGAGAAAGAGCTGAAATAAATAAAAACAAACAAATTAACTTAATAGACGATGGTGGTTTAGTTTATAAATATATATAAAAGTTATACTAGATTGTATACTAGAACATCAGTGGGAAACCACAGGATCAAAGGTTCTCAATACTCTCTTATATATTAACTTTAGAAAAATAAAATATTGACTAAATTGAACATGTGTACACTCCATAACCAGTTAAGAAATCACAACACCCCAAGTAATCACAAAATCAAGAGCAGTTTGATTGTAGTTGGGAGCAAAGTTGTTACTTCTGTCAACCACAGCTCCCCTTTCCCCTCTACAGCACAGCCAATTAGAGAAATTCAAACCTCCATCAGGGTTTGAAATGGGGATTTTTTAATAGGGGCTGTCTGAAAGAAACCTGGCTACCTCCAATGACAGACTGTAGGAGATATAAGGTGTACTTGACATGACAGTTTTCTACAACTGAGACCAATGGCAAACACTGTTTTGGTACTCCAAACTGTCATCAGAGGTAGAGAGCCCGTGGTAGTTAATGAAATCTGTATAAAGATAACTCCATATAACAGACGTCTTAAAACAGATTCAAAGTCCTCAATGATCAAAAGCATGATAAAGACATCCTGTAGAAAAAAAAGTAGCTCTAAATATAAAACAAATCACTGGTGCTTATTAATTTCACTGAAAAATAAATTTAATATACTCATCATGTGCACCATGCTATTTTAATTTTTATATATTTATATTGAAATATATTTATGTTGGAATGACTAAATCTATCTTCCTAACACATTATCATTTCATATAATTATAAGTTTTGTACTTAGATACTTCCTATCTATTTCCTTGGTACTTCTCAAAAATATATTAAATATACTCATGATCTATAAAATTCTGGACGTTCTTGTGCCTGTCCTCTTCTCCCCGATTAGTTCTGGATCTTTAGTAAACAGTTTATGGTCTCAGCCTTATGCTCATCTCAATAGGTTTTCTCACCTTTGCTCACTACTACTTCAGCACCCTCCTAAATTGACAGCCTCTTTTTATTATTTCTGAAATTAACTTTACAAATTGCACATTAAGATGTTAACTTCCTGTGTCTGCTTGATTTCATTTTAAGCCTTGCACTTTTACCCATGCAGCAGAAAATGAGATTTTCTTTTTTATACAGCTTAACATTAAACCACTGTGCATATGGACCCAATAATCTTTTAAAATATTTTTTATCATTTTTAAATGTGTGTGTGTGTGTGTGTGTGTATGCGTGCGTGTGCACGTGTGAGCACATGCTCATGTGCATATTAGTGCATCTTCCTGTGAATATCAGAGGCATTATATCCCTCTGAGGCTGGAGTTACAGGCAGTTGTGCTGTGGGTGCTGGGAACCAAATTCTGGTCCTCAGCTAGAGAGTTTGTGTTCTTAAATACTGAGCTCTCTCTTCATCCCCTAAATAATCTATTATTCATTTGTACTAAAGTTAACTTTTATTTTGGCAACTTCAAATCATGTTGCATTATTGGTGATTTTCACAATAGAGTGATTTAATATTGTTTGCCAAAATATTTAGTGTCTAATGCTTCTAAGAGAAGCATTGTAATGCAGACGTAAGATGAAGAACACAGTGAACGCGCTGGAGGGATACAACCTAAAACATACCACCCAGCCAACCCATCCTTCAAAGGGAAAGAACTGCATCCAAGGATATACAAACACTCTAAACGACCATCTCTGCTGGACTGCCCTACTGTTATGAGGCAACACAAACAAAAAATTTAAAGCTCTGTGGAAAATCAAATACAGAGCAACAGAATTCCGTGGATTTATGAGGATATACAACACACTTTTAATTTCTGAGTAGAATTTAAAAGATAAAAGCAAAAGCTTTGTCATAAATCTTTGTTAGTGCATCCAGATACACTCTAAATAAAACAACTATTATCAATAATATCACAGGAAAGGGAATTGTAACTGCAAAGGAAACTTGCATGGACTGGAAATTATATTGTCATTAGCACATACAAGAAAAAAAGAAAATTATGCTGTCTCATAGGAGACTCTTTTAGATGTAAGGATTCAGGTATGCTAAAAATCATGAAGTAAGAGGACAAAGAAAGCGGGCATGGCCATAATTATAAAAGTATACACTTTCAGTAAAAAACAGTTTTGTGATAATGAGATACAATATAAGTCAGAAACTATAATGAAAGAAAATAACCATGCTGTCAAGTTTTTTTGTTTTTGTTTTTGTTGCTGTTCTTTTTGTTTTTTCCAACTAGACAGAAGCTAGAATCTTCCAAGAGGAGAGAGGAGGGAACCTCAATTGAGAAAATGCCTCCATAACATTGGCTTATGGAAAAGCCTGGGGGGGGCATTTTCATACCCGATGGTTGATGTATTGATGCCCAGCGCATTGTGGGTGGTGCCATTCCTGGCAGGTGGCCCTAGGGTATATATGAAAGCAGGTTGAGCAGGCAATGGGGAGCAAGCCAGTAAGCTGGACTACTCCACAGGCCTTTCCTGTCTCAAAGTTCCTGCCCTTACTGCCCTCAGTGATGGACTGTGATATGCAATTGTGAGCCAAAATAAGCCCTTTCCTCCCCAAGCTTCTTTTGGTCATGGTATATTTATCAAAGCCATAGAAACCCTAATTAAGACAAACACAAATGGCCATTTCTCTGGGAGAACGCAGCTGTAATGAACACATACACAACACACTTCCCACTTCTCAGACATAGAGTGTGAACACTGAGGACTGAAGTAAGACACTGAAAGCACCATAATAATACTGACTTCATACCCTTTTTCGTATTATAAAATAAAGCTACATGGAGAACTAATTAGGAAACAAATCCTGAAAATACTATAAAAACCAGACCTACAGACACAAACAAATATTAAGTTGGATTACCTGGTAGGATACAACACAAGTCCTAACAGATAGAGTATTGAGGTTCATTTCTAACTATAATGAAATAATAGATAGACATCAACAATGGAAGAGAAATAAGAAAACCTAAAACTATGTGTCCTTTAAAGGACATATGCATGATTATGGTACTATTACAGAAGAGAAGATAAAATTAAGGTGATTGTTATATCCAACATAATCTAGAGAGTCTGTTTAATCTCTATCAAAACCTGAAAATTACTTTTTAACAGAAATACCTATAGCAATTCAAAAAAATCAGATGAATCAATGATGCTAATGAAGAGTTCAACACTTTTAAGAAAAAATTAGGAGCCATCAGGTTTCCTGAGCACAAAGTATATTAAAAGTAACAATAATCAAAATGGTTTTCTCCTGACATTAGTCTGAACAGGTAGACTTATGGAAATCAGGAGTGTCGTAAAACCCAGGTGATGGCCAAACGAAGATGTATTTCCACTGTAACTGCAACATCATTTTTAACAGTTAAGTGGTGATAGCAACCCAACCCCCCTTGCAATAGCAGATAAAATTAATTTGGAATGTGGGATGTGAGAGTTAGCCAATAAGAGGCTAGAACTAATGGGCCAAGCAGTGTTTTAATTAATACAATTTCTGTGTGATTATTTTGGGTATAAGGTAGTCAGGCAGCTGGGACAAACAAAAGACCCGCTCTCTGTACAACAGACATGCAACACATGAGGTTTTCTGTCTCCTTCTGTGCTCAATAGAAAAGAGAAGATTTGATAGAGGATTGAAGCACAACACTAGTCCAAGTTTGAGTCCCAAAAGACATATGAGACCATATTTCCAGTTTGCAAATACTGAGCTCAACTTCTGACTATAATCAAATTGAAGCTGAAGAGGAGATGTGGACCAGAATGTGACATGCCATAGCAATGATGCGGTCACCACTAAACTAATGTTAGGCTGTACATGGTCTACAGAAAGAGGAAAGGGGCAATGACAAAAAGAAATGGGAACACTCTATGCCTACAACTGTTCTGTAAAGCACAGATCTGCACTGGTCATTAAAAGCACAGCCACAGCAGGCATTTTTGAAAGGAAAGACGTTAAATGCTGGCAGTGTGTTGGGAGCTCTGCCGGGATTCTGTCCTCACCCACAGAGACCAGGTTTCTGTAGTTCTCTAACATCACATCCCTATACAGATTCTGCTGAGGAGGGTCCAGGCATTCCCACTCATCTTCAGAGAAATCAATGGCCACATCGCTGAACGTCAACTGGTCCTGAAATAAAAATGAACAAAAGAAATAAATAGCAATCTGATCAGAGTTTTAGTATCACCCAAGAAGAGAGTTAGAACTGGGGATGACACAGGCAGTTCAAATTATTCAGTAAGGCGCGTTTTATATCACATTAATATTCTACATCTTACCTAACCGAGTTTAGGTATGACATAGCTCTGCTAAACCAGTGTAAACACTCAAACTTTATGACCTTTAACATGCCAAAGTAAAACATTACCATCAAAATATGCACTATATAAACTACTATATACAACATTGTGTATATTTCTTAGATGAGAAAGTCATGGTAAATTACACGGATGACGATTCTGATTTGGGAGTTCTGGAGTGGAGTCGGGGTTTCTGAGGACATGGCTCAGTAGAGATGCTGATGCCAGTGTCCAAGGGCTGCTCATTAGCAACCATGAAGCGGAACACTAGTGGAGGAATTCACTGGTAAATTTGACTTTCAGAGTAATTATGCATTCTATTATAATAGGAAGTAAAGCAAGAATAATCTTTTTGATTATTTAAAACTATCTTCAATGGGAATGATTTTATGTTTCTTTTTTTCTACATCAGTTTTCAAATACATAGCAAAAGGTCAAGCCTAGGTTCTGACCAAATGTCCCTGTTCCAAGATTCACATGGAAACAAAGTTAAAATAACTAAAATAACCTTCAAGCAGTTTCCATGTGAGATTGGGAATGAAATGTGTTAAGAAGGAAGCAAAACAAAACTGATCAAATAATATTTATATTTTATTTCTACACATAAAAATGGTAGCTATAAATTCAAAACAATACACTATGGCTGTGTGCATTTCCCAGTGACAGGTTGTTGGCTATTACATATAAGGCCCTGGGCTCCTTCTGAGGACAGATTCAAACACACACACACACACACACACACACACACACACACACACACGAGTAGAATGTTAATGTCAAACATTAGAAAATGGGTCTGGAGATGTAGTTCAGTCTGTTGAGTGTGCCTAGCATACACACAGCTTTGGGCTGACTTCCTGGCATTGTTTTACCCAGAAGTGTGTGTGTGTGTGTGTGTGTGTGTGTGTGTGTGTCACCTTTAACCCCAGAACTTGGGAGGTGAAGGCAGGAGAATGTAAATTAAAGGTCATCCTTAACTCAATGCTGCTAGAGGCCAACTTGTGCAAATCTGAATTATATCCTATTTAAAGAAGATTCTATTTTAAAATACACCATCACTGAGAACATATTTAAGGATATAAAGCTACAATAAAAGCCATAGCTTTTTAGTTATTTATTGTTGTATATTACACACATTAATTTGAACACACTTGGAAATATATTATTGCTGTTTCTTTCGCTAAAAATAGTGATAAAGTGAGTATATGTGATATTGAGGTGGAATAAAATGAAAACTCACTGCACCATGTCTATTTAATATTCCAAAACATGTTCTATACTTAGAAGAAAAGTTAGTAGCTTAAAATAACAACAAGCAGAACGACACTAAGCAGAAGTAAGAAAGGCGGAGAAGCAAAGGTTTGCAAGTCCTGAATGCAGGGCTCCACAGTCCCTAACCGGAGACACACTCCCCTAGGAATCTGTCTTTTTTCCCTGGGATTCCTTAGCTTCAAGTACTGAACCTCAGATTTCTGCTTTCTAAGTATATCCACAGTTTTAAATGACAGAATACTCAGTGTTGCAACAAACCATTCAAAATACTCAGTGTTAATAGCAATTAACAAACTTTTGAAGCACTTAAATTTCATATCTCAAAATGAAAATAATGTTATTCTATCCTTTTCAGAGAATATAAAACTTTTTGTAATGGTAAAACAGAAATAATTCAATAAAAATTCATCATATGTGTAAACGAATAGGATTTGCAAAGTTAACTCTAAAAAAATCACCAAGTACAAAGAACAGCTAAGCAGAGTGACCATCACCAATCTTCCGAGAATGCTCTCGTGAAGGTTTGTGATGCAAAGATCCCTCACTCGCCTGATGAATCTGAAGGAAAGAGCTTCTCTATTCTTGATCCCGTAGCTACTGCTAAGACTCAATTACATCTGAAATTCTTTCCCCCAAGAAGTCTAGCAAATTCATGGTAGAAAAGAGAATAAATTATAATTAATAAGCACTAAAACCAAAAATATTTTGGTTTCTCCTCTATTTTGGATTTATAAATGCTTTCTTATATTCTACTTACTTATGACACAATAATAAACGAAGAGTTAGAAAGGACATGTAGGGCTTAGTGTGTCAGCTGAAAGAGATAGGCTGGGGGAACAGATTCTTAGATTTGAGATTGTTTTGCTTTCATTAATTTCAAAGAACCCAAATGGGTCATGCTTATGTTGAAATTAGCAAGTCAGCTAGAACCTCAACACCACCCACAGAAAACCTATATGCCCCATATATGGAGGACAATAGGTCAGAAGAATGGCCCATGGTGAACAATGCCTTGGGAGCTGTGAGGCTCTGGGAAGAAAGGCAGAGCAGAGGGCCTTGACCTCAGGTGCATCTTGTTCCCTGGACTGTTTTTAGATGTGATTTCATGCTTTCTGTGACATTTATATCCAAGTATAAGACTAATTTTGTTGGACGTCAGAACACAGCTATAGAACCTACCTGGTCATTGTACCCTGAATCTTGGTATGGCCTTCTGCCTTGCTTTTGCGGTTTCCCAGATAAAATCTACAGTAAGTGCCAAGCATTGTTTAAATGAGTCTGTCCTGAGAAAGTTCTGGAAAAGGTTGTTCTGTCACTATTCACTATGTGCTTACTGATCATTATTTACATATTTTTCTGAACTCAAACAACCTTCCTTGGATCACTGGTTTGTTACATTTAAGCAGAAAAGCACACTGAAACTGAAGTAAGGCTGTCTACAGCGTTAGACCACAGCCATGTCCTGTCCCACACTCCCTCCCGGCTTCTTTCTGGTCTTCAGATCAGATTCCAGGTGTTGCAGACAGATATGCATAGGTTGGTGAGAGTCAACACACACGGATTCTCCCTTGATGACATTTCTTGTGGAAATCACACAATCTGGGGGAGACACAGCTGTGCCTAATTGTACTAAAATATTTTTCTGGAAAATATATCTTACCTTCAAAGAGACTAAACTTCTTGCAAGCAAGTCAGTAATAAGCCTTGAGAAGTGGTGATTTAAGGGTATAAGTTCAACTTGATACCCTGATGTGTACTCAGCCTGTTTAAATTTACCCCGTCTTTATGAAAACAAGGCAACCAGCCTTTCCAGGCCTTGTATTTTACATTATCAGCTTTTATATCCTAAGCTGAATAAATAGTTATAATATTATGTATTCCTCACATCCTTGATCCATAATAATTTTTGTGTGCATAGGTGTGTTGTGATCTTTTGCTGAAAGCATCCAGCAGGTTGGAAGAAGCCGTAAACAAAACAAATATCAATGTTGGAAGCACCTCATGGACACATGATGAGAAACTCTGTTAGTGGTTTTGAGCTCTATTTTAAGTCAGTTGGGTTCAGTACAGTAACTTCTTCCTTTTTAAAACTCTGCTAAAGTTACCAGTAAAAAGTATTCCCCATTCCTTTCCCATATCATGTTTTCATTCTTTTTTGAAAAAATTATTTTATGTGTATGTGTCGGGATTGGTCATCAGATCCCCTGGGCTGAAGTTACAGTGTGAACGCCACTCGGGTGCTGAAAGTCTATCCTGGGCTCTCTGAAGAGCAGCCTGTGCTCTTTTATCCAGCTCTCCAGCCTCCAAATCATGTTTTCTATGCTGTCCAATACAAAGCCCTTTGTTAGGGATAGACACAGGCAGGCAACGAGGACATCACTCACACAGAACACACAGGCAACATGGGCAGACAGACAACAGACACATATCAGACACACACAGCAGTACAGTAACCATATATGGAAGATACAGGGAGAGAAAGAAATTCAAATTTGGGCTTCCTCCTGGTAAAGTATTCTAAGAAGAAATTTCTATTCGTTGTTAATGTGACATTGGTGCACCCAATAGCAATGGTGCAGGGTCAGCATGCCCAGCTGTCTTCATCAGTGCTCTAATGTTGTGAAGAGACACCATGACCAAGGAAACTCATAAAAGAAAGCATCCAATTGAGGGCTTACTGTCTGTTTCAGAGGCTTAGCCCATTATTAACACAGCAGGGAGCACGGCGGTAGGTGGGTGGGCAGGGAGCATGGCGGTAGGTAGGTGGGCAGGCATGGTGCTGGAGAAGTAGCTGAGAGCAATGTCCTAATCCTTCCAAATAGTTCATTAAGTAGGCCTAAGCATGTAAATATGTGAGCCCTTGGGGGCACATCACCATTCGAACTACCACATCAAACATCTCAGCTACTGTTGCAGCCCCACAATACATTATAGAGGGGTGCTAGGGCCAAACTTCACCTGCAACACTCAGATCCCCTAACTGGAGATAACTATGCAATGACCTATTCCTTTCACTGTCACGCTACGTTAGCTTGGTACAAGCTTCACATCACTACATGGTGCTCAGTACTTAGTTGTCTCTGGGAATCTGGACAACTGTTGACGCTCCAGCAGACTGAGAGAGACAAGAGTCCTGCGAAGCTAACAGAGACTCCTCCAGATCGATCTGCAGACCCTACTCCCATCAGTCTGATGACAGGAGATGGGATCAAATCCCTGGTTGAATGGCACCATTATGACAAGTTTCCAGACCTTCTACACCAGCATTACTCCTTACAAGAGGACCTCTGCGTTTTGGCAGAACCAGGTTCCTAGCGTCTGGCACAGTCATCTTCTTCCCTTCGGGCCAGCGACTCTCCAAGCATCTTCCTTTTGAACACTGGGTCACAAATGTATACAGGAAATTACATACTCAGTATCCACTTCCAGTCTCAGGGAAGGGGGAATGCCCAGGCCAGGTATCAGTGAGGTACAATGAGATTGACGGTGGTATAGTGAAATTTATGCCAAATTATCTCTTACTGCCTACTTATTTTAAGCCACAAAAACAAAAAACGT